GAGTGGGCGAAGGATAAGTGGGTTTCGCTGAATTGGACACGATAAGATAAGACATATCAACGAAAAGAAAGAGAATAAACGCAAAGGAGCAACACATCCCAACACAAATCTTAGCATAGAATTGGACGACCCACAAATGGACTAACGCAACAAAAAATTCCAGACACCTAAAATATAGCAAAACCGATATATAATTAGTACTATATGTTATGATGTGTTGAAATGTGTTATCATATGTTATGTGAAATACCTTAAATACATTGTCTATACCATCAAACTAGTGTAATTTCGGTCAAAACTAGCTATCTGCGGTGAAAAAAAATAGCTCTTAATGAAGTTATTTATAGTTAAAATAGTATAATTGGCACTTAAACCCAATCTGCATAACAACATAGGGAAACCTCCACTTTAAGGGATCTCAAAAAGGAGTCGAATAACTTCTCAATTTTAGTCTCTTCAAGGCCAACATAGTTGGCATGCAGATTAAAATGATATATCCTTTTCTTTTTGGGAATTTTTTGTTTTCGCCACTCTATATTTTGCCAGTTTTTCTTATGCCGCTTTAGATTTTTGACATTTCACTTTTGCCACTCTTAGTTTTTTGACAATTATCACAACTATCATTCCCGTGGCAAATGCAAAATTTTCAAAGTGACAATTGTGATGCATTTCAAAAGCTAAGAGTGGCAAAAATGAAATGAAATTATTTTGCTTTTGCCACGGAATGACAACCAAAAGCTAAGAGTGGCAAAAGTGAAATTTCAAAATCTAGAGTGGAATAAGAAAAAATGGCAAAATCTCGAGTGGAAAAAACAAAGAATTCCCCTCCCTTTCTTTTAATATTTGAATTTTTAACAATTGAAGAACCACCCGGCCCTCATATCCAGGGGCGGACGCACGTTCATGGACGTGGGGGCAGCTGCCCCACTTGATTTTTATGATCACCTGTAGTTTGCCAACGTAGTAGGCCATGTGCCCCCACTCAGCCCATTACCCTGCCCCCGCTCAGCCCAATTCTCTGTATTATTATTTCTAAAAGCCGAACTCCAAATTAAGATACAGCCCACTGAATAAGAACTCCTTCCGTCAGCAGCGCACGCACGTTGTCTCATGGGCTGCAGCCTACGGCTCTAATCGTTGCCTAACTCAATCGCCCGATGCGCTAAAAAAGACCCGATCACTAGATTTCCCTTATACACGCACGCCTACCTGACGGAATCCCCGATCTCTTCTCTCACGCCGCCGCGTAGCCGTTGCAATCCCCTGACTTGTGTCACCGATCCCTCGCGCCATCGCGGCCTTGAACTATGACACCGCATCAGCGGCCGCACAACCAAATCAACAAACAGGAGCCCTAATTTTCAATTCTCTAATTCTAATTGACATAAAGGTAAACCGTAGAAGTCATCCAGGTTCCTTTCCCCCCATAGATTTTGTTTGTTTACAATTCCTATGTTAGGAACCATGTTAGTTGCATTTACTTATGTGTATAATTTATCAATTCAAGTGATTAGCATAGTTCAGAAAAACTGTGACATGTAAATTTCAGTATGCAACTTTCTAGTTCAGATTATTGGCTAGTTCGTGACATGTAAATTTCAGTATGCAACTTTCTACTTCAGATTATTCAGGTTAACTATTAATACTTCCTAGTTTCCTCACATTTCTTCTTTATGTATGCATATGAAATTTGGCAATTCATGGAGAGTTTTTTCCTTTCAGAAAACGACAACGCCCAAGATGCCTTAACTAGTGGATTTGGACAAGCTTCTAATGAAGTGATTGTTATACATTTTTCATGCCGTAAAAGTTTGTTGTTTGATGAAACGAAAGGAATGTGCTAAAGCTCTTTTCTATTTTATTAATACCGGCCTTCTTCGGTGTTTCCATTCTTCCCTAGTTTGATAATGTTTTTTTCCTTGCAGGTTGTAGATTAGATTGTTAGAACAATGTGTCAATAATGTTCTCTTATGCAACTCAGGAACAAGATGTTGTCGTAAATGGTTAGTTTTCTTTCACTTCTCAATTAACTTGGTTGCCATGTGGAGAATGATGTGATTATGCCAAGTGTTTTACTTTCTATCAATGTGTTCGCCATGAACGTGAATATAGCCATATATTCGGGTTGGTTGCTCTTAAGCCACACTTGCTAGTTTTGGGTCATGGCGCTCTTGTGTCTGGCTCAGATGATGTTCCTTGATGTCGCTAGTGTTTCTATTCATAGTCCCCAAACTCTACCATTTTTCTGTGTTTTTGGTTTTTGGTTTTCGCTTGGCTTTTCCCTAATCAACTGGGAATGTTTGTTTTTTGTCATGTTTTTTATACCTACTAATAAAGCAAGGTGTGTTTCGCTAATTTTTTCATCCGTTCACCGCCGAAAAGAACATTTTTCCTATCCGAGGTGGTACTAATTTTTATGCTGAAAAGAATTTCTGTACATGGGCCGCGTGCTCTGGCCCAGCGAAGCCAGCCCACTTATTTGTCTGCCAACAAAGCTGATAAAATACTATTTCCCGCACTAGGCGACAAATGGTCGAGTTTTGCACAGGACAACCAATATTGGGCTAGACCATTTTTCTTTGTTTCTGTGTTTTACTTCTATTATTATTATTTTTCTATTTCGTTTTTCCCTTCCAATTTTATTTTTATTTTATAATTTATTTCGTAAATTAAAAATTCTCAAAAAAACGTTCAGAATTAAAAAAACAATTTTTTGTAAATGTTCAGAATTCCAAAATTTTCTTGCTATTTTGTAAAATATTCAGAAGATGCAAAAAGTTTCCCATTTTTGCAAAAAACATACTTTTCAAAATTGTTCGAGATGTCTAAAAAGAAACTGGCATTTCAAAAAATGCATCAAATTAAGAAAATATTATTATTATTATTTAAATTGTCAAAACTAAAAATGATCTTCGTGTATAAAAGATAAACATTTTTAAAAAATGTTATGAAACACATGTTCCAATTTTAAAAAATGTTAAAAAATACAAATAATGGTCATGTTTTTTTATCGGATTTTCGCACAGGACAGCCAATAGTGGGTTGGCACATTTTCTTTGTTTCTGTGCTTTACTTCTATTTTATTCTCCTTTCCCTATCTCTTTCTTCCATTCCAAGTTTATTTTTCTTTTATAATTTATTTATGAAATTAAAAACTCTCAAAAAAATTCAGACTTAAGAAAAACATTTTTTTTGAAAATGTTAAGAACTCCGAAATTTGGTTGCTATTTTGAAAAATATTCGGAACCTGCAAAAAAATTCCCGTTTTCTAAAAAAAATATTGTTTTTAAAAATTGTTCGAGATGTCTTAAATTAAAATGGCATTTCAAAAATGCCCCAACTTCGAAAAATATTCTTTTTTAGTGAAATTTGCACAATTAAAAATAATCTTTTGTATAAAGATACACATTTTCTAAAAATCTTATGAATTTTCAACACATGTTCCCGTTTTTTAAAAGTGTTCACAAAGTCAAATAATGTTAATATTTTTATAAAAAAAGTTGGTATTTTCAGAAAATGTTTGATAATTTAAAAAGATGTTCCTTTTCATATTTTGTTCATGTTTTTTTAAGTGTACATAATTAAAAAAAACTGTTCCATATTTAAAAAATTGTTCATGTCTCCTTGAATATTTAGAAACTTCATACCTTAAAATCCCCTCGATCGACAGGATTGAAAGAAAAAATAGATTGAATAACTCATGTGCCTTATCTGACGTACGGTGACGTAACAAAACTCTTAAATGCCCTCGATTAATGAATGGAAAAATAACAGATTGATTCTTTCACAAGCGGCGAAACTGAGAAGCTAAACGTTCTTTTTTTCATGTGCACATAAGATTTTGCTTACACATATAATTGTCACTGACTTTAAATGCATACTATTTATCTCCCGTTGCAACGCACGGACATATGTGCTATGTTTTAAAAAGAATGTTGATGCATTTTGAAAATGTATACACAATTTAAAAGGGAGTGGGCGTATGAGGGGGTATAGACTACATGTAGGCCATAGCTCGGGAAGTGTGGCCATCACACCCAGCTCGATTAGATTAGTTTTAAAACTATTAGCGGTTCACTTGTGATAATATGTTTAATGATGGGTGTACATGTGGTCCAAGATCATGACCATGCGATTGACCACATTCGGACGCATTACGATCAGGTTGACACCATGGCCTATTTTCCGTGAAGGCGAGGAGGATAAGCGACAAGACGAATTAGGTGCTATGTTGAAATAGATAAAGTGGACCTATGGAGGGGTCTTGACTCGTGCTTAATGTGCTAGGAGAATGCAATTGTTTTTTTTTTCCATTGCAACGCATGGGCATGTTTGCTAGTCCTTATAAACTGGAATCTCTTCTCCTTAATGACCGCAGAAACCCCTGCCGTGGAATAAGGTTCTTAACAAATATAGCAGGACCATATATTTTTGCCCCCTCTCAAGTTTTTTTCCTGGGTCCGCCCCTGGTCAGGTCTGTGCCTATGTCTCTGCCTGGAACCTTGTTTCTCGTTGACAGTTCGATACCAACAACCTGAACCTGGTGAACTGGTGTTTTCATGTGCAACACCACCACCATCGATGATCACTTGTATCATGCACCCCCCAAACAATCCCTTGAAACAGCATGCATGCACACCGCGTGCATTTTTCTCTCTAGAAGTTTATTTTGCCGGTACGCATTTTGTTCATCGCTATGCAACATTAGAGCTCGAAATTAATCTTTTAGACTATGTTGTAGGTAAGACGGCCAGAGTTAGAAATGCGTCGCGTCTCGTCTCGGCAATTCATGCCATCTTCGTGTTGCTCGCAAGATCCGTGCATGGAACTAACCATGAAACAAACTCACAGATGGTTGCGCCCTGGCCCTCTCCTTGAGACCTTGACTATAAATAGATGGACCGGTGAGCATCTCTAAGCCCATCCAAGACTCGCAAGCCAAACTCACTAATCATACACGTACGTGCTTGCCTTAAACCCTTCCGGCGAAGTCAAGCACAATGGCGTCGTCCGGCAAGACCTGCGCCGCCTCCGTCCTCCTCCTGCTGCTGGCCCTCGCCGTCGCCACGGCGGCCGACTCGGCGAAGAAGAGCATCACGTCGGAGCCCAAGTCCATCTTCTCGAGGCCGTCGGGACCCATCATCTCGAGGCCGGCGTCGGAGCCCGCCATCCCGAGGCCGTCGGCGGAGGTGGACGTGTCGGCGACGTGCATGGGGTCGCTGCTGGAGCTGAGCCCGTGCCTGGCCTTCTTCAGGGACGCGGGCACGTCCAAGGCGCCCGCGGGGTGCTGCAAGGGCCTGGGCACCATCGTCCGAGACCAGCCCGCGTGCCTATGCCACATCTTCAACCACACCCTGGAGCGGGCCATCGCCGTCGGCATCCCCGTCAACCGCGCGCTCGCCCTCATCCGCGACGTCTGCGGCCTCACGCCGCCCAGGAACCTCATGGCCAGCTGCGCCAACGCCGGCGCCGTGCCGCCGCTGTACGTGTGCCCGGCGCCCTCGACCTGATCTCTGCCTATCCAGGTGATCAAACCAGCCGCATCATCACTAGGATCTTCGGTTACCTGCAACGTAGAGCTAGGCTCCTAACTTATTCACTGTTTTTTCTTTGTATTTTTCGTGCAGGAGGAGATGCGTGAGTAAATTAAAGATGGCAGCCCCTCTTCCAAGTCGACGAAGGATGCATGCATACGAATGCAGCTTATTATAGATACTCTCCATACTAGTTGGAGTTTCGAATTAACAACACATGCCATGGATATGATACTAGCTACCAGATCGATCCTGGGCATAATGCCAGTATGCCACACTGTGGTTACAGATGTATGTACTGTCTCCACGCATAATGATAAATGGATAAGAAAAAAACATATAATATCTTTAATTGTGCTGCCATGGTTTTTGCCTTATGGGACAATGCAGTTATCTATGTCTTTCAACTCAGCAAAAATTATATGCGATTTCATCAAGAAAAGACAAGCATGATCTCGTTATTACATAATCATTGGCAAAAGAAAACAGCTTTTTCTTGCCTCGCAGAGTAGATAAGATGCTTAACTAGGCACCTGTGCTTAACATATACTAAGATTATCCCAAGAATGGACAATACAATTCCCCCAAAAGGAATAGACAGTTCGATCATCACGTACCTACAAAGAGTTGCTTGAGTTTGAGTATATGGAGCTCACATGGATGCGGCGATATGACCCCTCTTCAAACACCCATGTAGAAGCATCCTACACCGTACGCGCGCTACGTACGCTAAAAAATACAAAACCGATCAAATTTTCACTAGAATCTTCAACCACCGTGTTGGTCCAAAGACTAACCATCAACTCATCTCTAAGTGGGGAATAGATCTTCAGCAAGATTAATCGTCGATTCATCATCATACACTAACTGGGGAACAGACCTTCAGGAACTCGTCAATCTTGGCAGAGTACAGGTGAGGGAAGCTCCTGTAGTGGTCCACATGTGGCGACGAGACAAAATTGTGTGCTGAGACGCTCACCCCGAGTGATCTCTGCATGTTGATAAAGCTCTCTACGCATTCGGCAGGGATCACTCTGTCGGCGGAGCTGTACAGGTAGAACTGGGGGCAGGGCGGCTGCTTATCTGAAAGAACTGAGAGGACCTTGTGCATTCTCCTGAACATGATCAGAAGGGGCAGATAAATATCACAATATGAAGACGCATCTGGTGTTTCTGTGGCCAATATATTTGGAGATGAAAACCGGTCGTTTTGAAATGCATGGTAAAAGGGTATGAGATGAATTAAAGATGCGTCTACGAAAATGAACTATAACCATGCACTAGTTTAACCATACAGTAAGGACGAAAATGGAGAACAACTGAACAAACACGCAGATGCAGGTTGCACACGAGATATTAGTCGTCTAGTAGGCTTTTACACGTTGGGAGATTAGGATATTTGCCAGAGAACAGCTTAAGAAGAAACAGGGAACCAGCAACATCAATCTCAAAAGGTAAGTAACTGGACAGAACACACGAAGTTTTTACTACAAATTACAATATAATATTCTCCTCAATCCAATCCTCCAACTCTCCAAGGGCAGGTGCATGTAAGAAGCAAATACTAAAAAATTGAAATGATGCAGGCCCTTTATTATAGGAATTGAGTCATGGTATGGCTATGGGTACCTAATGATGATTTTAGGCTGCATGTAGATTCCAGACTAGGGGCCTCTTTGGATTGAAGGATTTTCATAGGAATATTGGAGGATTCCAATCCATTGGATTTTTTCCTAAAGAAGCCCTTTGGATCAAAGGAACCACACCTCCAAAATTCCTATGGATGCATTCCTACACCTCAATCCTATAGGAATTTCAACATCCACTATAACCTCTTTTTTACACTGATTCGCGTAGGATCGAGGCACTTTTCCTGTGTTTTTCCTGTGTTCCATCCAAATGACCATTCTTGTAGTTTTCCTCTATTTTGTAATCCTCTGTTTTGCACCTACAATCCCGTCAAATTCCTGTGTTTTTTGAATTCCTTTGTTTTCTAATCCTGTGATCCAAAGAAGCCTCAACAAACCATCCCAACAATGAACAATACAAAATAATGCAAATATGTATCTTGCCATCCAGATAACCTAAGTTTCAGGATACACATACAAAAACTGGTAATGGGAAAGCATATATCCTTCCATCTTTGGTTCATAGGAATATTGTAGGAATTGTAAAGGATAGGAACTTTGTAGGAAAAGTTCCTTTGAAGCCCTTTGGTTTGTAGGAATGGATAGGAATAGGAATCAATCCTTCACATTTCAAAGGAAAAAATAAACATTGGCCTCCTTTGGTTTAGAGGAATTTCATAGGAATTCTAGAGGATATGATTTTTATAGGATTTTTTCCTTTAGAGCCCTTTGGTTCATAGGAATGGATTCCTATTCCTACATAGGATTGGTTCCTATCCTCCACATTTCATAGGAAAATAAAAAAGAGCCTAGACTCAATGGAAAAATTCCTTTGGTGTCAACCAAATGACATCTTGTTTCCTATTCCTACTCATAGGATTTGAGATACATGTCATCTCATTTCCTACAAGATTCCTATTCCTGTGATAATCCTATCCTATGAACCAAAAGAGGCCCTAGATTCAATGGAAAAATTCATATCCTATGCATCAAATGACATCTCTTTCTTTATAGCAATTGAGATGCATGTCATCTCACTTCCTATGATTTTTCTATTCCTATCCTATGAACCAAAGGAGGCCAGTTTCTTGACACTGAATAAGCTATTAATTTTCTTTATCATGTTTAGATATGACTGCATGGATTAGTTAGAGTACATAATCTCACTGCTAAAAGAACACCCATTGTAACTTTATTTCATTGCATATGCCTTGGCCGACTTTACTACAAACAGAAATGTGAGCTTTAAATACCATGTAACCGAAGCAATATTATTAATGGTGAATGGACATACCGGTTTACATCAGGTAGGTGAAGGACAATCTCAAAGAACTTTTGAAGGGTTGAAAGAAGAAAAGTTTCACCCCATGATAGTTTCGTTAACTCTGAGACAGAAGTAACTTTGTTCAAGGCACCATTCAATGTAGATCCATCAGGGGAGTCAGCTGAAGGTCCTGTTAAAGAACTACTTTTCTTCAGCATGGCAGCAGAGAAACCAGCAGCCCAGACCTGAGTTTAGGGTACACATGAGAAACTCCAAGTATACAAGTTTTTCTGGTGAAATAGTATATTACTTACAACGAAATGTTCCAGACACAAATTTCCCACTGGCCAAAATGGAAGAAGGGGATTCAGCATTTATCACTACCAGTTGAAAGCTTATTTCAAGCAAGATATACAAACCTCTGGTCTAATCTCTAGAACTGGCGCCGAGTCTACAATACATCCCTTTATCCTCTCAATTATATCAGCTCTTGATTGTAGATTCTCAAGTACCGCACCATACCTGAAAATAAAATAAAAACAAAAAAGTGTTATATCCGCGGTAAATTTAAAGCCATGGGCATCAGGTGAAAGAGATGGACAAAGGAAAGCTCTAATTCCAGTTGGGTTTTAAGTAAGATTAATATTTAAAAGTATCCTTAACAACATGCAACGATGCTGTTATCAGATAGAACTGTTGGACATTGGATATTGAAGCTCAGTGAGCAAAATTTAACACCACTGACAGAACAGGCAAGATTTACCAAATCAACCATAGAAACTTGAGTATAGTCTATAACCATGCTGTTATCAGATCCCCACTCTGTTTTATTCAACCTACTCATCCAAAGATCTCCCAGAAGGATATATTATGTATTCTCTTTTGGACAATAACAGTGGGATAGGATCAGCCCTATTGTGAGTACAAGTACAAGGAAATAACAAAGGCATTAAACTAAGCAATTAAACAAAATACAAGCAGCAAAAAGAGAGTTTCTCCAAAGTATGCTGGCACCCTCTGGTTTTCCCCAACTAGCAACAGCCCTTGTACCCGCACACACGTACAAACAGTACGCCTCCCCTAAACTGGGATCTCTTTGATAATAACACGCCTACTAGATCCATCAAGCACATTTTATCCACCAAGCTCATGTAGCAAATCAACTTGTCACAGCAGAAACATGTGGCACCAAGGACAAGCGTCCCATGTCAGTGTGGAATCTAAGGGGCAATCCATGCAAAGGTGCCTACCTACAATGTGTTATCAACTTGTTTTACCCGGATTCAAACCCTCCGATTTCTACCAGAACAAACTAATCTCTTTGTAAGTACATAGAAAGATAAAAGGTGTTAGAGATAATTGCTGGGAGTATTTCATAGCACACAATCCGATCTTATCTGAATTCAGTTATTACTATTTACCTTGCCATTTCTCTAAGATTATGACCGGTGGTAAAAAAAAATAGGAGATTTAATTATACTTACTGTTATACAGACCAAACATGAAATGGAGAGTCTCTCAAAAGTAATGTTGGGCTGTTGGCACATTAACTTGTTGGTTCCTGCAAACTAGCAACGGATCCCACATTATTGCACGAGCAAAGCATGCTCCTGCTCTTACTGGAGATCTCTTCGATAATGGCACGCCTATTGTACCAACCAAGCACGTTTTATCTACCAACCTCGTGTAGCAAACCAAATGTCCCATGACAATGTGGAATCTAATTCAAAGGGGCAAACTATGCAAACATAACTATGGTGCACATCAACTTTTCGCCCGGATTTAAACACTTCGGTTTCTACCGGAGAACAAAAGAGGTTAGTAGTACATAAGGAATTGAAGTGCTTAGATATGGACGAGGATTCGGTGTTTCCGTACGCGAGCCAGCCGGAGTTGCTGAAGGTGTGGAAGAAGAGCGTGCGGCTGCGGTCGGCGTCGCACCAGGTTCCTCCAAACTAGCAACAGATCCCACATTATTGCACGAGCAAAGCATGCTCCTACTCAAACTCAAGATCTCTTCGATAATGGCACGCCTACTGGATCAACCAAGCACGTTTAAGCCACCAGCCTCGTGTAGGAAACCACAATGCCACAACTAAAACATGCGGCACCAAGTGCAAGCGCCCCCATGTCAATGTGCACAGGTGCCTAACTAAATTGCGTTATCAACTTGTTTTTTCTTTCAGATTTTAACACTCCACATCCTACAGAGAATCGAAGAGCTTAAAGAAGAGGGAGGATGATTTGGTGTTTCCGTACGCGAGCCAGCCGGTGTTGCTGAAGGTGTGGAAGAGGAGCGTGCGGCTGCGGTCGGCGTCGCACCAGGCGGCGATCTCGGCCGAGAGGTCGGCGACCCTGCGCTCGACGCGGCGGCCGAGGTCGAGCCCCAGGAGCTCGCGGACGGGCACCACGAACCGCACGGACCCGACCCCGCGGTCGCGGTACAGGTCCGCGTACCTCCGCAGGTGCTTCTGCCGCGCGCCGAGCCAGCCCAGCAGCACCACCAGCGCGGGGCCCTCCTCCCTTCCGCCTGCCCCCGCGCCGCCCGCGGAGGTGTCCTGCGGAGGCAGGGCGTCCCACTGGATGAAGGGCTCAGAGTCCGGCGGGAGGAGGTTGAAGGGCGCGTGGCCCTGCGCGGAGGAGGCGGAGGAGGGGAGGGAGACGGAGGAGAGGCCGGCGCGGCCGCGGATGCCGCCGTGGCCGCGCGGGAACGAGAGGGAGCACGCGACGGGCCGCCGCGGCGCGTGGAGGAACGCGGCCGCGCCCCGGCGGTGCGCCGCGGCGGCGAGGAGGCGGACGGAGCAGGCCGCCATCGCCATGGCTGTTCCGCTGCGGCAGTGGCGATGGGGGAGAGAGCACGAGCCGGCCGACGATTTTAATTTTAATGGCACACGCATGCGCTCACAGTTACAGCGACTCTGCTGGCGCGTGGTACCCGTAAATGGGCTGGGTGGGGAGTGATGGCGCACATGGGCCACGCGGCCTACGGCTGTGCTGTCTGTACAGTAGCCAGTAAATTCGCCGGTCCGATGTAGTGCGCCTCCTTCATTGTACGGCTGAGGGAGGGCACTACGCCTGCCTGCTACAAAAGATTTGCCTAATCTCATTTGCAAAATCCTACGAGCATTTACAGCCAGAGCCCACAAATCCTTCTCAAACTTTCCGCTGGACAGCACGATCACTGCTCAGACAGGAGAGAGAACAAAAGAAAATCATCCAACCGAACCTCTCAAATTGGTCTTGTGTTTGGAGTGTCCGCGGACCCTCGTATCCACCCATTCGTGTGGGAAGAATACGAGGGTGTCTGGGCAGTCGTGTGTGCCAAATCCTTGTGCACTTAGAAAATACCAAGCGGCGACTACGGCCTGTTTATGCATATATATTCACCATCTACACACTCCGAAAACGTTTTATGACCCTCAAGCTACCACGTTATATAGTCAAACATCTCGCTAGGACTTTGATGGCCTGGTGATGCAAGCTCCAGCACACAGCGGGAGATAGCAGCATCTCTGTCTCTTGGCAAGTTTTTCAACACTCGTACTGCACTAGGGGGTTCGACGAGAACCCGCACGGCCTGCATTGCTAGCACAGGTGATCTGCTGTATCTAGCCGTCGCAAGGACGCAAATTCCCCTGTACTATTCCTATTCATTGCCAATGTGCGGCTATAGTCAAGTACCAACTAATATTCGACAAACCAATTCCCAAGTCTGAATTTTGCTATTGCTAGATTGTTCTTCATTTTCATTGCGGAAATTGTCCTCGTCCGTGTTTGAGTTTGTTCAATTTCTAAAGTACTCCCTCCGTAAACTAATATAAAAGCGTTTAGAATACTAAAATAATGATCTAAACGCCTTTATATTAGTTTAGAGAGGGAGTAACCAGAAAACAAAACAGCAAACACTCCAACAGGTAGCAGGATTTTATGATAAATAAAACGTAAATCTGTTCCCCCAACCAGACGATTCTGTCCGCGACATCATCACATGATAGATAAAAATCAATCAGTCCAGACGCAGGCACCACAAAGCTGTAGTGGCACAGAAGCAAAGAGTACACACAATGGATGGCAACCTTTCTAAAACAACAGTCTAGTCTTTTTGAAACTCTGAATAGCGCTGCGGCAATGGGGGTGGACGGACATGACATGTATAGATCATCAGAAGACGCCTAGATGTCCATGGGTGCCGGTGCGTCCGGTGCTGCCGGCTCATCCGCTGCTGGGGCATCCCCTGCCGCAGGCGCATCGCCCCTGTCCTCCTGCATCGAGCTTGATTCAGCAGGGGCGTCGGCCGCTGGCGCCTCATCGGCGGCCTCCATGGAGTCGATGATTTCCTGGATCCTCTTGGAGTCAATCATGGAGAAGGGCTCGACGGTGCCATCCTCCGTTCTGCCGACAATGGCAATGGTGCAGTTGGAGCTGGTCAGCTTCTCACCTTGGAGGGTCTCCTTTATGGCTGAGAGCGCATCCTTGATGAGCTCGTCCGGGGTGTAGGCGTTGAATTTCTCGAATCTGCGTTCGAGGTAAGTCTTCGCTGCCTGGGAGCGGGAGCCAATGGCGAATGCCTGGTACTCAAAGTAGTTCCCACTGGGGCAGTTGTAGTAGAGATGGGCTCCAGACTCATCTAGACCCGCAACAAGGAGACCGACACCATAGGGCCTCTTCCATGAACGCTGTGTGCAAACCTGCAACGTTAAAGTACATTGTCAATACATCACCCACCACAAGATGTGCAGATAAATGGATAGCGGTGGAAACATGTCCTTCAGATAAAAATATTCTTACACACATGCTGGCTTGACGGCAATGATTTGATTGCTAATACTAGACTAGAATCATGAGATTAAACCAGTAACTGAGTGACTTAGAGAAGACTTAGAGAAATCCCTCCCTCCCTGGTTTTAGTCTTGCCTCTCTCTCTCTGAATTAGGACAGGAAATTTTGAATTTTATTTGGCACTCAGTTGTACTCCCTCCATTCGGAATTACTTGTCGCGGAAATGAATGTATCTAGATGTATTTTAGTTCTAGATACATCCATATCCAAGACAAGTAATTCCGAACGGAGGGAGTAGATGCAAAGTTCAGAAATCGGCGTGATGGCACTCACCCTGAAAGATTGAAGAGCAGCCTCGACTGGGCGTGCTTGACTGGGGTTGAGCAAAGTTGTTACAAGACTTGTACAGCGGTACAGGTAGAGTTTAGGATTTGATTGA